GCGGCGCTGCGGCATGGCGGAGGGTGGCGAGCCAGTTGTGAGTGCCCGCCCCGCCCTGGGCCGCCTCTGCTCCAGCTGCCACGGGGCCGGCTCTGTTCCTGCCCGGGTAGTGGGGTGTTCACTCTGAAGCCTAATGGTGTCCCTCTGTTCCGGCCGCACTGGGGCCGTTCCTGCGCTGGCCATGGCGCAGCCCTGGTCCTGGCAGGCTTCAATGAGCTCCTGCCCTGCGTGGGTCCAGCGGGTCCTGCACTCGCTGGCAGTGCTGGTGGCACTCGCTCTTCCCTTTCCTGCTGCAGAGCAGCTGTGAGCACTGGGGGCTTGTTAGGGTTACCTTTTCCTTAGCGGGAACCCTGCTGCTTTTGGCTTCAGATTCTCGAGGACTACCTGCTGATGGAAGATGTCTCCCTGCTGGAGGAGATGGCTGAGGAGGATGAAGAGCTTAACCTGTACAACGAGATGACTTTTGGGCTAGGTAAGGTCTCAGAGGAGCCCCAGAGTTGGGGAGATCCACCAGCACCCAAAGGGGTGAGGGGGTGAGGAAGGTGTTCTCCTGCCTGGTGACAAGCTGTGTTGGGAGCAGGGACCCCGGTGAGCACTGCCCAGGCTCTCGCCCACCCTGATGTGCTCTCCTTCCCACCTCCAAGACCGAGATTCCACCGAGGAGGACACTGCAAAATCCCTGATGCCCCCAGAGATGAGTCCTGAGCTGGCTGAAGTGGTGGCAGAGGAGACCGAGGTCAGTGAGGAACCAGGACCTGGAGCAGCTGTGCAGCTGGAGGAGCTGGGAGAGCTCCAGGAGGAAGCTGGGATGGAGCTGGAGGTCGAGCAGGTCGGCTCCGAGTTGGAGGAAGAGGAGGAGGAGCTGGGGGCTGAGGAACCAGAGGAAGACCAGGAGCCTTGGGAGGAGCCCAACGATCTAGGAGACCCAGCGGTGATGAGAGCCGGGCAGAGCAAACCCACGCTGGAGGTGATGCATGAGTGGGGAGGGAGGTGACCAAGGGCCAGGGGTCCTGCCCCATGGGGGGCACAGGGGGTGGTTTGGTCCCTGTCTGAGGAAGGGAGACCTGCAGTGCGAGGGCTGTGTATGTGCCTGTAACCTCTTCTTTGGCTACAGAGCCAGGACTCGGCGGTGCTGGACAGCAGGATTGGTGCTTGCTGGGCAGAGTTTGGCAAAGAGGACACGGTAAAAATGTCCTTCCTAATCTGGTGATGGGGCTGAGGGGCCCCTGCAGTGTCCCCTGTCCTGCTCCTGTCCTACTTCCCCTTGCTGACCATCTCTCTGTCTTCCAGCTGTCAATGGATCCCATGGTGTGGGGCTCCTGCCCCAGCAGTATCCTGCCCCACCACATGCTGGAGGTGGGTGCCCTGGGCCAAGGGTCATGCAGGCGATTTGGGATCACCGAGGGACCTCCAAAGCCTTATCGTGGGTCTGGAGGTGCAAGGACGTGTCTCTTGGGTGCCAAGGCTGTAGGTGGAGGTGCCCACCCGAGGCAGAGCCTGGGTTTGAAGGCAAAGCTCTTGAGTTTGCGGGGACTGGGACCCCCATGCTGGATGTCCCCGTGGGTCCCCTGCTATTGCACACTGCCAGGATGGGAGCCTGGCCAGTGCATGGTCTGGTTAAGCAATAGTTGAAAGCTTTGAGCTGCCCAGTGCTGGGGGAGCTAAACTGATCCCAGCTGGGTCTCGTTCCCATCTCCTGCTGCCTCCTCCCTGCAGGATAAAGCCATCCTCCAAGTCCTGGAGAGGCCCCCGCCATGCACCAATGTGGCCCTTGACTTCCTCGGCTCCCCTGTGCAGAGGGGCTTCGGGGGCTCTCCCCAGCTCAAGCGCCACGACTTCAGACTGATGTCCCCCAAGTCCTTCACCCAGCGCTTCCTCCAGCAGGTAATGGGATTCAGGGGGGCTCTTGTGTCCCCTCTTCCTCTGCCCTCACCTCCCCAGGGGTGCAGCCTCAAGGGCAGGCCTGTCCCAGCAACACCTCCCCTCTCCTGCCCTGCAGCAGTCACCTCTGATGCCTTGCTCCCCGTGCTCCCCTCAGCCCTTCACACCGGCTCACAGATCCTCTCCGCTCTTTGCTTCCAACCAGGTAATGCAGTGGGCTGTGAGCCACCCACCGCCGTGTCCCCTCTGGGGTGGCCCTGGAGTGACAAGGGGACAGTGCCTCCCCAAAGCTTTGCTGTCTGGAGTAGACTTTGCAGCTCCTTATTCTGAGCACCCATCTCCAGCATATTGCTGATGGGGAAAGGGCAGCCACCAGTGTAGCTGTTCTTCATAAATCCATTTGTCCTGAAGTCCTCATGGGACCTGTACTGGGCATGGTGTTGCGCTGGGACACTGGTGATGGACCTGGGGTGTGCAGTCCCTGGTGATAGCCGGGTCCCCTTGCCTTGCTCAGTTGCAGTGGCCTGATCCTTGGCATGGTGCCCCACATGTCCCCTCTGTCCAGGGAGAGGGTGGCCCCTGCGAGGACTGGAGTCGGAAGCCAACATGGAGCTCGCATACCCCTCTGGGACTCTCGGAGGGGAAGACTCAGACACCCGAATGCTTCTCTCTTTCTCTCCAGACCTCAGGGTACGCATCTCCGACCCCTTTCCGGCCCATGTCGCCCAACATCAGCAGCCCGACGCGGCCTCTCACCATGCACTTTGGTCCCATGTCTCCCTCATTGGACCCTGCTCTCTTCTTCAGCCCGTCGGCCAGCAGGCAGCTGAACCTCAGGTAGCAGGACAGCGAGTGGGCTGCATTCGTGGGACCGGAGGAGCCCTGCCAAGCAGCTGGGGGGGGAGTGTCTCCTCTCTGGGGACGGCTTTAGTTGCAGATGCTGAGCCGCCTGACCCCTGTCCGGTCTCCTTTGCAGCGTGCCCAGCCATATGACCCAGCTGCACCCCCAGCACCAGCGCATCCTGACCCAGCGGCAGCAGCAAGGCGGGCAGGCGCAGAGGTGAGGGGGTCCTGGGTCCCCAGGGAGCTGAGGGGTGGTGGGGGTGCTCTGGGCAGTCACAGCAGGCTGCAATCTTCTCCTGTGCCAGCATCTCCCCCAAGAAGCTGTGGTCTCCTAAAGTGGACCCTTATGCTGGGCTGATGACCTCCAAGGAGAAGGACTGGGTTGTCAAGGTGGAGATGATCCAGCTGCAGAGTGAGAACATGGATGATGACTACTACTACCAGGTGAGCTCCTCCTGCCAGCACCAGTGCCTTATTCTGCTCCTCAGGGCTGGGACTTCATCACTTTGGGAGCCGGAGGATGCCAGGGCTTGTGGTGCCTCTGCTTCTGGCTATGCTTGTCGTTACAGACGTACTACCACCGGCTGGAGCGCAAACAGGCAGAGGAGGAGCGCGTGGGCGGGCGCAACAAGCAGGAGCCTCCCAAGCTGGTCACACCGTTCATCCAGAAAGTAGAGACGTATGACTCTGGTGAGGGGCTGGGGCAGGCAGCGGGGGTCCGGGTGAGGGGTTGCGGGATGTGGTCTCACCATATCCCATCTCTCTTCCAGTGGTGCGCATTGCGGGCTCGCTGGGCCAGGTCGCGGTGTCCACCTGCTACAGCCCTCGCCGGGCCATCGATGCTGTGCACCATGCCCTCGTGGAGGAGGTGGGTGAGGGGAAGCTGGGCTGGTTGGTGCCCGGGGACCTTTCCCCGAGTCCTGGAGCAGCTTCAGCGGGAGCTTTAGGAGCTGCTGCGACAGAGCATGGGTGCTGCCTCGAGCTGTGGGAAGGGATGCACAGTTGGAGTGGGTGCCACCTCAGTGATGGCAGCTTGTCCCCTGCCAAGGGGTGGGATGGGGCTCCGGGCAGTTGGAGCTGGCCGTGGCCTCCCTGTGGGATTGCTCTGTATCCTGAAGCTGCCTCTGATCCCCAGGGAGCAGCTGGCCAAGCACTCTGCCAGCGGCAGTGTCTGGTGCTGGCTGTAACTGTTGTGCCTTCCTTTCTCCCCTCTTGAAGGCTGCGGGGAGCCACCGGCTTCGGGCGCTGCACAGGATCGAGAAGGTGAGCAAGGCGCCATTC